CAGATGACCATATGGTTTTACGTCAAAAACTCAGTCCACGACAATAGTCAATAGTATGTGCTACATACGTACACATTACACAATACATATGACGCAACTGAATACTGCTGTGGCGAATCTATTCATCTGTTCTTGAAATAAAGAATTTCAAAGGCGCATAATATTTATTAGGCAGCAACTGGGAAAATATTAGTTGTTTTTATAAAAGTAAATACTTTACAAGTATAAATACTGACACAGATTGGTACAGTTTCATCACATAAAACACAACTGTTATTCAAAAAAACGAATTATGGCTACTATTATAAGCCTTGCTGGAATCATAGTAGTGTTTTAGCTACTGCCAGTAGCACTTCGGGTCGATCTATACAGTCACCGATGTTTACCATTGAAGCGAGCATATTGGGTAAGAATAATGCTGCTACCAAATACAAATTGGGTGACAAATTCTCCGAACCCGAGGATATGGGAAGAGACTTCAAGTGGGTTAGGTCAAATCAGATTGGGTATGTGAATGATGGCGGCGAAGAGGTTTGTCTATCATTCCTTCGTACTGGCAACAATGACTATATCGGAGTCGAAACAATGACTGGACGCCGGCCATTATGCGAAAATACACCAGAGCGTTGGGAAACTTTTATTGTAAATGAAAGTGACGGTAACGCCGAGAAACCGGTTGTTTTGTTGAGAGACGCTACCAGTGGACAGTGCGCTTACCTGGCGACAGATAGAGAGAACAGTAAAGAAGAGGAAAAATACTATCTTGGCCTAGGAGACTGTGAAGCTACTCACCGAGCTAATCTATTGTTGGCTCTAAAGAATTCGGAAACTCCAAGCCCTTCCCCAAGTCCGTCCCAATCGCCAGTGAAAGGTAGTGTAAGTCCAAGCCCATCCCCAAGTCCATATAGACCGATGCACCAGGTTTGCGATTGTACGGAAGGCGTACTACTTAACAATCGGTGCTATGACACACTCAAGGAGGCGTTCGATGACGCCACAGACGATGCGACCATACACGTAGGTGGTTTTGTAGTAAAAGTGTCGGAACCGATAGAATTCGATTCGAGCATCACACTTTAGGGACATGCATGCGCTGATGGGTAACAGGGCCAAGATCATGGCTACATCGAGCTTCGAAACACTGTCAGGAGCTATGCTTATGGCCACTAATCCGGATGAACAGAATATAGTTTTCAGGGATTTGGAAATTACCAGCGAATCCGAGGGTCAGTACGTTGCTGCATTCCATTCTTTGAGCGAGTCTGTTTTTGAAGTCGAGGGTGGAAACCAAAAGGTGCAACTCGTCTGCAATAACTTATACATACACGACATGCAGAGCCAAGAGCCGGGTGTGGGCATATTTCTAAGCGGCACCAATGAGTTGACAGTGGATGACCAATGCCTGTTGGAAAATCTACTCACAACCACGACAGTTGGGGATAAATGGGCCGGAGGCCCAGCTATTGCGGTTATCTTTCTTCCTAAATCAGGCACAATCGATATTGACGGTCAATTCAAGAACAATCGAGCGTTTTTTCCTAGTCCGAGCACTAGACATGCTGGCGGAGGTGCAATCTATTTCGACTGGATGGCTGGCAGTGTATCCATTACGGCTCAGTTTAGCGGTAACCAAGCAAATCAGGGTGGCGCAATTCAGATACCGGCCATAATAAACGATTTTTTCTTCGATAACGGAATTTATACAAATAACACAGCCGCCGACGAAGGCAACGGTGCAAGGTTTGGAGCTCTGGGTTGTATCAAGCTTTATAGTGGCGCTTCTTTCGTACTTAATGGTTATTATATCGACAACCTTTCCGAAGGTCGAGGTGGTGCCGTAGGCACAAACATACATCAGAGCGACAGTCTGTTTGCAATACAAGGTACCTTTAAAAACAATAGAGCCCTCAACGATGGGGGTGTTTGGGGACGGTGGCCCAGCACGACTCTCAAAGGTGGTAATTGATATTAATGCGACCATCGATGGGAATATAGCTGAAGCAGATGGCAATGACAGCAGCGTATACAACGCGGTGTCATCAGGTGCGAGCAGTGATATCATTTCTCAATTCGAATGGGAGCAGCGTAGTACAAGCAAAGTAATTAATCCATAAATTGCTATCGAAACTTATGATGGCGCGCTAAAATCAAAAAACACAAAATGCATAATTGTAAAGACAAATTTAGTAGTGAAATAAAACAATAAATAGTACTCGTGATCTCACAATGAATAAATATGCACTAAACCTATTCAAAAAGTGATATAATTGATTCTACCAACTGCGATTTCACTACGAAACGTACACCGTAATTTCAATACACTAACACTCGAACGACAGAAAGCTCGCGTATTTTTGCATTGATCTGTAAAATATGTGAGCATCTTTTTGTGTTTGAAGGTATAT